AGCCCCCAGCCTAAGCCCCCATAAATGCCTACTCTCCGGTGTATTTCTCCCTGTGGACTGGGCACCCAGCTGACCGCAACCTCTCTGTGAGAGGGCCCTGAGCCAGCGCTGTGGAGGACCTGTCTCGCTCCCCTTATTCTTCTGTTTCTCTGGCTCCCTCGGCCCAGTTCCCGTGCGTCCCAGCAGATTCAGTGATGCCAGGTGGGGTCCATGGAGAAGGTGGGGTACTCTCTGGGCAGTCTGCAAATATGGTCTATCTGCCGGATTCCTGAACACTTTACACCCCCACCCCCACCCCAAGCTGTATCCCAAGAGCCGAGCACCGCCTGGTGCCCAGGTCAGAGAAGTCCCCAGTGCGGAGAGAGGACCAGGAAGGTGCTGCCAGATGGAGGGGCCCATGAGCATATCTCAGCTGCTGCCACCTGCAGCGTCGGTGCATAGCTGAGCGAGGGTAACCAACACTCAGACCCAAACTCACTGCCGTCTAGCCAATGCGGACTCATAGCGACCCTCTAGGACCTGGCAGAGCTGCCCCCTGGGGGGTTCCAAGACTGCAAGTCTTTAAGGGCATGGAAAAGCCCCGTCTTTGTCCCCGCAGAGCTTCCGGCTGTTTGGAACTGCTGACCCGTAAAGTTAGCAGCCCAAAGCTGAACCACTGTGCCCGCAGGGTGCTCAGGCAGCCGGGGTGGTGTGGGGTGTTATCCCTGCTGGGCGAGGACCCGGCTGAGAGAGGTGAGCGGTTCATCAGACAGCCGGCGCCGGTGGTTCCTGCACACTAACCTCCCGCCCCGCTTCCTTGGCCGAGGTGCAGTCAGCGCAGCAGCATCGGGAGCACATTCACGACAAGACTGGCACAGTGCCCCGCGTCCCCTACTTCGTGCTGCCCGTGAAAGAGTGGGACCGGTACCCCATCCCCACCGACCTGTGAGTGCTTCCGTCCTCTTTCGTCCGCCCACGGAACAAACACACGCACCCCCGGGCACCTGCGCCTGCGCTCTGCCAGCCATGGCCAGGCACCCAGACGAAGCCTGCAAGGTCCAGTCTGGGGCAATGGCGGCATCCCCGGACGGCTGCAATCGGCCAGCCTCTCCGCCGGCCTGGCAGTTGCCGCCTGGCACCTCCAGAGAGCCAGGAGCGCCTGCCCTCTAGCGGGCCCGGAGGGCACTGCAGCGAGCGGGAAGGGGTCCTCGCGGCCCCTGCCGGACCGGGAAAATGTTTCTCCCAGGCACTTACTTCCAAAGGAGCCCTGGTGACAAAGTGGTTGGATTGCGATCCCCAAGGTCAGCAGTTCGAAGCCACCAGCCGCTCCGCGGGAAAAAGCCTGGGCTTTCTACTCCTGGTACAATCTCAGGAACTCCTGTGGGGCGGCTCTCAAGTCAAAGGCAGTGAGAGTGAGGGACTCGAACATAGCTTTAAAGGTCAAATTGTCCCCGCGAAACTTCATCACCGCTTCCGGAAGCCCCTCTGCCGCCCTCGCCCCTTCCTGATGCCCACAGGTCTGTGCCAGGTGTCTGCCAGGCAAGCACCCCCAACCCCACCCTGCCCCAACCGCCAGCCTGTGCACTCGCAGCGGTCTAGGTGGTGGCTGTGCCCGCGCCCGACTGCAGATGCCCGGGC